AAGAGATATTAAGAAAATTGGGATGGAAATGATATGGAAGAGAAAGTGTAGGGTGATAATATTTCTATTGTAAACTTCTCTTGATAAAGGCACATAGAGTCGCATTATCTAAGACAATGGTTGGTATAGATGGATAAATAGCAATGGAAGAGCTAGTGGAGTCAAAAGTGTTGTGGCTTTAGTTCTCCACTTCTCCTTGCTTGATCTTATATACTTCCCCACTATGGTTCCATTATCAACTGAATGACCAAAAACGTTTAATTTTTAGCTCCTTTCTTTCTTTGATACATTACTTGTTAGATTAGGAGATGCTAGTTGTTACAACTTACGAACTAAATATGTGATATTCATACAAATTTTCATTATTTTGGTTATTTAAAGCACCCTTGTTTATAATGGCATGCCTCCAATAAGATATAGATTATGAATTTGAATATGCACCAATCTCAAAAATATGTGATTGCATTTGAGTGGCGTTCAAGAAAATTCTATTCTGAACTTCGCAAGAATTTTAAGAATTTCAATTTCAAACACATGCAATGGATACGGCATACCATATTCTCCCTCCTTTGGTAGTGATGAACCCATTTACAACGCTCTTACATATCATGCGTGCAAGTTTGATATGATGCATAGGAGTATCAAATGAAAAGCAAGTTGCTTTTTGAAAAAACAAATCACATTCCACCCTTAAAGCATTTCAACACGAAAAAATCTACTTCAAAATTTACTTATTTACTTATCAATATCAAATAGTGGGAGAAAAAAAAACTTAGCCTAGCGGAGGATTGGAGAATAGATGGGTGGAAACTCAAATTTAATTTTTATTGTTGTTGTAATATTTTTTATTGATGAAAATAATAGTGACAATCATTTGTAGAGGTGTCAAAAATGACTTGCAGGTTATGATTCTCGTTCCCAAAAAGCAGAACGACCCGTTCTAAAATCAGAACGGTCCGTTCTGATACTCATTCATAACGGTCCGTTCTCCTTCCGGAACGGCCCGTTCTCCTTCCGGAACGGCCCATTCTCCTTCCAGAACGGCCCATTCTCCTTCCAGAACGGCCCATTCCAAAATCAGAACAGCCCGTTCTGGTCCCGTTCTCAATCTTTAAACTTAGTTTCTTTTTGGTGCTTGGAACGGCCCGTTCCGCTTTCGGAACAGCCCGTTCCGAGTTACCCAAACACCCTCTATCTTTAAGAAAATTTATAAAAATGCCCTTGATAAAAAAATTGGGTATTACAGCGGAGGGCGCCGACATCGGGGCGGGGGCGCCGTTGGAGACGGCGAAACCGGGGAAAGCGACGGTAACGACGAGAGCGGCGGAGTCGGAGAAAGAGGGGTCGTTTTCTTCGTCGTCATCCTTTTCATATTCTTCGTCCTGTTGGGACTTGTCGTCGTCGTCCGTGTCCTCTTCGCGGAAAACGACGTCGTGTTGCTCCTGAAGGACCGATCCGGCAATGGCGAGGCGGCGCTGCCGCGACTGGAGGAGGCATTGCACGTGGCAGAGGAGAATGAGGGGGGTTTGAAAAACTAATTTTCTAAAAAAAATTCAAATATGACGTGGCAATTTATGTGGAAAATGAAGTGGTCATGAGTATTAACATGGCATACTAGGTGATGATGTGGTAGTCATCATTTAACAGAAAAGATTAACGTCAAGTACTAAATTAAAAAAAAAAAATATTAGTCAAATAATTTAAATAAATTTTTTTAAAAAAATAATAATATGAAAATCCAACTAATTCAAACATATTTAAGCCAATTTTAATACTATAAATTACATGATCTAGTTTTCTATTGTTAATATGAGTATGATGAGAAGAACTAGCGAGTGGGACAACTGGACCATTGTGTACTCAAGTTCCAATAATCTAGTTTGCAAAAGGTCTTTGGGAAATGTGCAACCTCGTAGATTTGTTTGGTGGATCGCAATTCGCAGCCCTTATCTTATCTTCTTTCTTTTGGGCTTATTCGTTCCAACGCATGCCCCAACATGCCACGCAGTAGACAGCAATGGTGGTGCTAATGATGTCCCCCTAATTTCACCTTGGAATACACTATTCAAGTGTCATTTAATTGCTTGGACTTTTCTTTTAGCAATGTTTTTGTTTAATTCAATGACAAATTACATTTTAAATCTCTAACGTTATAGTATTGCTTTAAAGATTTTATTCACAAATCTCGTAAAATAGATGTATTCATTTTTATAATAATTAATAACGAATCTTCAGAAAATTTGAATGCTCATACTTAGTAGATCTTTCATTTTAATTATTTTTTTCAATTTAAAAAACCTAAATGTAAAATCTTATTTAAGAGGGTTGAGTCAAATACTATTAAAAATATATTAAATAAGAGGTCAAACTCATCATTTATTGAATTCTACATAAACTTTATGTAATAAAAGAGTATTGTGAACTCGTATCATATAGAAATGGATATGTAGGCTAATGATATGAAATCAGATTCAAGAATCTAATGAACCCCCCAAAAAAATTCGATGATCTAATATAGGTATCAAAGTGACATTGATATGACAGATAATTCAAATTATTCGTAGTTTTCAAATTTATGATTGTCCAAGAATAAAATAAATCATTAATTACAATAATTAGGCAAAAAAAAAAAAAAAAGGGATTCAATTTTTCATTGAACCTAGTTTAAATTCGGTTCAACTCGATTTTAACTCTACCAACTTACTCACCTGAGATATAAGTTCATAGGATAGCAACAAGTAAAACTCAAATCTTGATGGTAAATTGGGCGCAAACTCGAATGGATAGGTTAGTTATGCTTTGTTGAGATAAATTTCTGGATAATTACTTATATAATAAGAATATAAGAAGGTAAAATAAAATATTTTTTTTTAAGTTATAACTAGTTTGTATATAAATTAATTTATAAAAAAAAAATATTTAAGTTTTACATTAACTCTATTTTTGTATAAAATAATTTTAACTTGTGAGATATAAGAGTGTTTATGAATTAAATTGTTTGAACCACTCATATTTAATTGGTTCAGGTTGAATTTTAAAAATTTATTGACCAATTTTGATTTTTTTAACTAACTAAACCAATTTAAATAAGATTTGAATTGTTTGGTTCAAATAATTATAATAACTTTACGTAGAACAAGAAAAATTATCAAATAGATAAAATTAAATAGTAATTTTACAAAATTAACTTTATGATTATTTTTCTGTACTAAAAATAATGCAACACAAGAAAAAACTTATGTGTAGTTCCTTAAATGTAAATGTATATTATTGAGGTAAAACTTCAGTCTTGATTAGAAGATGACACTAATCATATTTAAAAAATTACACCTAAATTTTGTACCAACACAAAATCAATTTTTAAAGAATATTACGAGGGGTACGAATGAAAAATAGGTGATTAATATTACATTGAAAAGTTAACATGACACTTTTTTGAAACTTTTATTTTTTCAATCATGACACTTACTATAGGACAAAGGTAGTATTATTTATCGATCCCACAAAAAAGGTTTAGTTCTAAGTTTTAAGATTATAATATTTTTTTATATAATTTGACAAAAAATTCAAAAATAATTATAAATAAACAAAATTCATTTTTTTGGTTGTATCAACTAAGAGGTAAAAAGCCAATTTGGATTGACACAAGTGATTAAGGTCCTAGAATAATCTTTCACTTTCATTATGAGTGCAGGCAGGGACAACTTTCTTTACCACTTCCTTTGCTCGGTAGATAATCCTCTTAATGTCTAGGAACTAGTTAAGTAATTATAATTGAGGGAAACTATTTGCAATTTAAGTTTGTGCAATAATTCTTGAGACAAATTATTGCTTACTTAATAATAGAGTTGAAAATGTGTCAAGCTTATTTATTTTAGCTCGATTCGATAATATTTGACTGAGTTCAAAGCTTGACTCAATTTTATTATAAACCTTTTTTAATCCAAACTCAACTCGATTTCAAGCTTGTTAGCTCGAATCACATGATTTAATAGTAAAATTTATTTTGAACCCTATATTTTCAAAGTTCCAATTTACTAATGAAATTTAGATACAATAATTGTTTAAATTTTTTAAAAAGACAAAACATAATTTATTCTATTAGTTTTGTCAGAGTATAAAGTATAACTCCAAAGAAAAATAATTACATTCAAAATTTGTATAAATAAAAATTACTTTACCTTACATAAAAAATAAAAAATCCAATTCATAATTATGAAACTTTAAAGTTTTCACTTTTTTTTATTATTATGAACTCGTAACTAAGTTTTGAAGTCTTTTTTTTTTCTTGAATTTTAAAGTTTCAATTAAATAGAAAATCAACTATATATTTATATGTCAAAGCAATTCATAAATCAAACAATTTGAACTATTCATAATTTAACTTCAACTCATTTATTTATCTATTTCAAATGCAACTCATTTAATTTATAAGCTAAATTTAATAAGTTAATTAACAAATTGAATTTAAACTACTCCCTCTTATTTTTATTATAATATTATTTTAATTGAATCACATGAATCAATTTAAAAAATTATATTAATTAATTTTATTTTTATAAAATAATGTGATGATATATCAATTTTAACCTTATTAATTATCACTGACTTTTCACGTGAGATATAAAGATATTATTTCATATTAAAATATATAAAATTAACAAATAATAATTAAAGAGTTTTTTTTATACATATAATTAAAGAGTTTAAAAGATGAGAGAAAATATTTATCTAACAACAATTTTTAATAATGATAAAAGTGAAAAGTTACAAAATAAAATTAATATTTTCTATTAAACCATGCCTTGTAATTAAATTATCGGATAGGATGATAGACAATCAGCTGAGGGTTGCGATAATTAATATGGAACAAGAAAAAGTGTGATTAAATGCAAATTTAGTTTAGTTTTATTTTTAAAATAAAGTCCTTCCAAATATTAATATTTAAAAGACTATATAATATAGTATATATGGACAAGAAGCAGGCAATGGAGCGAGTCACTGAGTGGTTTTCATTCACTTAACGCGCTACCTAACCTATCATGATCCCAATACTACACTCTCACTCATGACTTCCAAAACGCACCGTTTCACTACCTGTCACCGTCACCCTTCCACACCTGTCACCGGTTTCTGTGCCTCCTGCCTCCGCGAGCGCCTCGCCAGCATCGACTCATCCTCCAACTCGCCGGAGCTCCGCCGCGCCAAGTCTTTCTCCGCTCGCACCGCCTGCGCTCCCTCCTCCGCCGCCCCGGAGCCCCGCCGCAGGTCCTGCGAGGTCCCACTGCCGCCGCCGCGTGGCTCGCTGTCGGACCTCTTCCACCGCGACGACAAGAGCAAGAGCCCTCCGAATCGGAGCGCCTCGGTCCGTTCTGGCACCGCCGGCGTCGGAGTCGGAGAGGACGACCGCGGCGACGCGGTTAGGGTTTCCGGCGATGACGCCGGAGAGGAGAAGACGATGAAGGAGTTCATAGATCTCGAATTGCGGAGCAAGAAGAACACAGGCAGAGATTTTAGCTACATCGCGGCGAGTTTTCGCGACGCGGCTTCCGTATTCAGCAAGCGATTGATGAAATGGCGACGGAAACACAATCCGAAGAGTAACAGCAGCAACGACGACGGCACTGGCGCCGTCGTCGGCGTTGGTTCGGCGAGCGTCGAGGTCGAGAAGCTAGGGTTTAGGACAATGCGGGAGACGCAATCGGAGGTTGGAGAATACGGCTCCGCTTTGGGTAGAAGATCGTGCGACACTGATCCGAGGTTGTCCTTGGATGGTTCGCGGTTTTCGTTCGAAGCTCCTCGAGCTTCTTGGGATAGTTACTTGATAGGGAAAGGGTACCCTAGGGTTTCCCCAATGGTTCGCGTTGGTGATAGGGTTTTGGTTGAGGAAGAAGAAGAAGAAGCGGGTTTGGAGAATGGTGAAGAATGTTGTCCTGGTGGTTCAGCTCAAACGAAACATTACTATTCGGATTGGCATAGGAGGAGGAGGAGTTTCGATAGATCGAATTCTCGACGGAAGTCGATAATGGCGGATGTTGATGAATTGAGAGTGATATCTAATGCTAAGGTTTCTCCCGCCACCACTGAGTTGTTCTATGGGGCGAAGCTGTTGATCACTGAGAATGATTTGAAGGATGCGAATTTGAAGGCGTTGGATAATGTTCAATCTGATACTGTAATGGGGTCTGCTTCCACGGTTGATGGTCGTGATGTTGCAATTGGGGATGATCAAAAGGGATTGAACAAGTTTCACAAGTGGGGTAGGTTGTGGAGTAAGTTGGGGTTAGTGCAGAGGAGAAGAGAAGATAGGTTGGGAGAAGGAGAGTTAGGTGGTGGTGATGTGGTTAACAAGCCCATTGCAGAGTCTTGGCAGAAGCTGAGGAGGGTGGTTAATGGACAAGCGAGTGAGTCTGTTAGCCAGAAGCTCATTCGTAGCTATAGTGTTAGTTGTAGAGATCCTTGTAGAATGGGGGGTTTAGTCTACGGCATTGGGGGTTCTGAGGCTAAAGGCCATGTTTTGAATGGAAGACAGAAGTTTATGCTTCAAAGGAACCGGAGTGTTAGGTATTCACCGAGTAATGTTGACAATGGCTTGTTAAGGTTCTATTTGACACCGTTGAGAAGCTATAGGCGAAGCAGGTCTGCAAAGAGTAGCTTAAAGAATTCAAATCCAACAGCCAGAAGTTTCTTTTCAGGCTGTAACTAATGGAAGTGTATCTGGGTGTAAAAACATATATAATGAAATTGTTTCTTTCCTTGAGATAAAGTATTTCACACTGTTAGATTGCATATTTGCATCGCATTGGAAAGATATAACTGTTGAAATCGGTCTGGTTACAGTTGTTCTCACGATGTTGGTAGCAGAATAAAGCATTCATACCATGATACTATTGGCATAGTATATTTCTGATTGCTTCACAGCTAGGAGTAAAATAGTCTTCAACATTTGATTTTGCTATAATTTATTGCATGAAACTTTTAAATCAGGGCAAAATGTAGGTAAAACTTTTAAAGCCCGTCCAAGTAGCAGAGAGTATTAAGGTTATAGTTCTTGATGTAACAGCGATGTAGTCTACAACATTTGATTTTGTTATAATTTATTGCAAGTTTTAAATCGGGGGAAAATGTAGGTAAATCTTTTTAAGCCTGTTAAGATAGCAGTGAATATTAAGCCAATAGTTCTTGATGCAATAGTGATGTATGGTTATGAGAGTTTCATGGTTCCTATTTGATTGCTATAATAACAATATTGTCATATAGGATTGTAAATTAATTTCAAGTGAAATTTCAAATCAAAATTAGGATATTATGTTATTTGCTTCCATCTCGTTAAATTTATAGGATAGGGGGTGTAGATGTGTCAACTTTCATCTTGCAAGATATGTGGCCAAAACATTGCCAGGAATTATTTTCATTGTGTTCTTTTGGATTTTACAAGTTTCAAACAGATCATATTCTATTTCTTTGGGAACCATTGACACCAATCAAGGTATCTATAATTTATTCTATTAGGTGTTGCTTTAGTACTTGCTCATTATTAGACTACCAGTATTTCATTGGTTGGGATATGTGGGGCTTGCAGGCATTAAGAAACAGAGAATATTGATTTATGGTTTAAAATAATTCATTTGCATTCTTTGTCTGGGACCGTTTAAATGGATTACTAGTTGTTATTATGGATGGGGGAATAGATAAACCATAGTTTTATTATTGTCTTTTAACCTTTATTTTTGCGACTGTTGCTTTTTTCAACCTACCATTTCAACGGATCTGGCTTGCTGTTGGTATCTTGATAACTTTTCTTTGAGTATAATGTTATAATATTGGCTAGTAAGTCTGTTTGTTCACTACTTTACTCATCTGATTGGTTTGAAGTTGCGGATGACAGACTGAGAATTTAGTTTACCTCCAATTGAATATTAAAATTTTTATGTTGGTAGTTAACTTCTGCAGGCAATACTAACCTTCGTTTCTCATTCCCTCCATTGGAATATTATAATCATAAGTTAGTGGCTAACCTATGTTTCTAATTGAATATAATATATATGATGCTTGGATTTTAGTTAGAAATGGCCTTAGACTAGAGGTTCATATTTGGTGAACTTCAATTTATGATAAAGTCGATTTTTGCAGTTTCTGGTACAGTTAAAGGTGAATGTTCTGGATATAGTGATTTTGTAGCTTTTGGTTTCTGAAATTGTCATCATATTGCTGACGTCAAAGGTGGATTAGCATTCATTGGTGTTATGATAATATGTTTTGCATTGGTCATCATTTATGAGGAAAGGTTTCTAGCAGATTTTATAGTTGTTCCACATTCTTCTAGTCTTCCGACAATGCTGTAGCCATTAGCTTAATGAAGCTGAAAACAGATGTCTGAATTACAAGTTGCTTTGGAAGCACGTCCTTTCACTAATTTTTTAAAAATACGACTGGTCATCAAATTAATTTAGATACTAAGTCAATGGATTAAGGGGGTACATTGATGAGTCATTTATTGAATAGTATGACTTAATTTTTATTAATTTTTTTAAAAATAATTATGTCATAAAATTTATATAATATTTTAAAGAAATCCTCAAAAAGAATTACAGTCAATATAATATTAATAAAATAATTAAATTATAAATTGATTGAACATCATAAATTAATTAAATATAATTTTAAATTAAAATTTTATATAAATTATTTAAGTCAACTTTATAACTACATTGTATGTTGGTTTAATTATTAATAAGGCATTAAATAATTCACATTTACTTGAATTTAAATCTTGTTTCATTGTCAAATAAAATATAAAATAATTGTGATATATATATATATATATATATATATATATATA